AAATTCTTTATTTGTTATTATTTATATTATACATCATAAAATGAAAGAGCACAAAATCACAGTTATAGTTTCAACATGCACTGCACTAAAACTTTCCAATTAGTAAAGTGCTGTTGAGAAAAAGTTAGAGCTGTTGCTATTATTTACAAGCGAGATTACCTCTAGAAAGGATTACCATCACGGAAAATTTAACACACACACATGTGGCTGTGAATAAAGTGCTCGTCAACATGAAGCCTACTTAACGAACTAAAGTTAAAACTATGAAGTAAAACCTAAAGTAGGTACAGTTGAATATATACAGTTGGATGACGTAACTCAAAATTAAATATACGATTAACCGCTGTTAACCATAGTCTGTCCAAGTCCAAGCTTTCTTAATCACTAGTTGGTTTGGGAGTTGTTTTTTTTTTAGTGGTCTCTGCCCTCCAATCTATCCTTGTATTTGTTGAACCACAACTTAATAATGCCTTCAACCATGGCTTCTGTACTTTCATTGAAGAGAGATCGTGATGCACCTGAAAATAAATAAAAAAAAAAGCAGTAGTAATAAGACACATAAGTTTCTGGGTAATTAAGTTCTGTTAAACCAATGTCTTACCATGAAGAGTGGATATAATGTGTTTTGAGTCTTTGAAAGCCATTTCCCTGTGTAGACCACTCCAATTTAGCTTTTCACATAGCTTATCATCTATCAATTTTGGCAAACATCTATGAAGAAAATCTGAAGGATTCTTTCCTCCAAACTGGCAGAGAAAGGTTTGCTGTTGGGTGTAATTGAACACAATGAGTGACATAATACAACTAAGAAAGAATAGAAGACTGTACAGACTTAAATGGTGGCCTTACCATATTCTTTTGCTTACAGCTGTCTCCTAACTCAACATCTAGAGCTGCAATATTATCCAGTGTTGTAATTGGGAGATCTAAACTTGTTGCTGATGGCACTAACACTGCCTCCCTCCTCCCTCGGGAAAGTATCTCTTCAAGCAAACATGTAACCGTATTCAGTTTCTTTAGAACAACATGTTCAAAATTACCTGCCAAATAGAAAAAATAAAGATAAGCAGATGTTAGCAAAGAAAAATAAAAACAAAATCTGGAGCAAACTGTACCTTGCCTGTGTGGTGTCACAAAGCTCAGCTCTCTTCGGGAATGGCTAGGCTTGGGTTTATTTGGTGTTGATGTTTTACCCTGCATACTTTTAGGCGCTGATTTCTGTACTGATTTCTGTACTGATTTTGGAGGGACCGATGAAACTCTGTTAGATGTGTGAGCACTGGAAAATAATCAATGTTGCAGATTAAAATAACACTAAGTATATATAACATTAGTAAATGTGAGATCCGAGGGGGTTTTCACTTGGGTAACACTGTGTACACTTAAACTATGTATTACGCACAGTTAAAAAAAATTGTAACTTTACAAGAGTATACCTGTAATCTGGTACAGAAATAGTATGGCAATTTTACAGAGTATGGTAAATTTACTAAATGTTTTTTGTAAATTTACAAGTTTGGTAATTTTACAGAAAAGTATTAGTAATATTACCGAAACCCTGTAATTTTCCCCAAAATGTGTGGTAATTTTACAAATGGCTGTAATAGTACGACATATCTTCTGAAATATTACAGAGAACATGGAGAATCACTAGAGCCTGTACAATTCACTTCCAGTAAATTTCTGTAAAAATACTGAATTGATCTGTATAACAGAAAGTAATGCTTTCTCAGACCTAGCATACGGTTGCGTGTTTGCACGTGCTGTTTGAAAGATTTTTTATTCTAACATTTACAGATCAACACAGTAAATACTAGACCTGTGCATTCGATTGTTGGGCTCGGGTTTGAGTAAAAGTCAAGGAGAGGTAGTGCCTAGGAACTGACCCGCCACTTACACGAGCCCTGTTAGTGGCGGCGTGAGATTAGTGATCCGTGAATTTCCTAACGCCAAAACAGCTGGGCGGAAATCCCAGCGTGGGGCTGGCCCTGGGCCCCGGGCCGAGGTCCTGCCTCCTCTCAACGTCGACAGGCTGGAGATGGGTAGCCAACAAAATATGTTAAGGAGGGAGTAAGTTATTAGTCAGTTACGCGCGCGTAATGTAATACGGAAAAATAGGAAAATATGCCATAAAATGGAAGAATTCGGGTTGTAAAGCTTGTTTAAGACCGGCGTAATACCGCGTAATACACGTAATATGCAATACACTGTACACGAAAATTCTGAGTGAAAACCCCCTCGGTGAGATCATACCTATTCAGAAGTCTGGAGGGTTGCTCCTCAATACGCAAGGGACTGTCTCTAGATCTTCTGCTTTCATCTCCTAATTTTTCTACACCAGAGCTGTTCAAAATAGAAACCATTTCATATCAGTAAAGAAAAAACACTATCAAAAAGTACATTTTTAATTAATAGCTATAATTACCAGTCAAAATCGTCAAACACTCCTGGTGATAAAAGAGAACTGTCCAATTCATCATTAGAACCAGAACCCTCACTATCATCTTCATTGTCAGAATCTTGTTTAGTGTTTCGCCTTTTCCTATATCTTTTCTTTTCCTCCTCATCCTCCTCATCCTCATCATCTTCATCATCATCCTCCCTGTCTGACTGAGAACTAGAAACTACAGCTTGCCGTCTCAGCCTTTTAAGCCGTGCGCAAGCTCCATCATAGGTTCCTGGAAAGAGGAGTGAACTCAGTACAAAAACCGGAGTAAAGAGCACAGTTATTTCAGTTGTAAAAGTGAAATTAGGTTAAACAAATCTTTTTAAATTTTTTATACTTACTTGATGTACGGAGTATTTTGCAAGGAGGTGCAACCCAATCCTCTTTATCTCCAGAGTTAGGATCAGTCAGCTCTTCGACTAGAGCCTTCATTTCTTTAGCCGTTATTCTGGGTTTGGAGGGCCAATACGTCTTCTTGCCTTTCGCATGAATCCAAATCATAGGTACTATTTCTATAGGCACACTCTCCTTCTGGTTTTTTTCTTTAGTGAATTCCACTATGGCAAACTGCGCATCCCTGTGCATAAAAAGAGAAAATTAGTTTATTTTCAACAAGCAATGATTATAGCAGCCTTAACATTTACATCCCCCAACCTGCACCTAAGCCCTATACCAAAAGTAAAATATAACCAGCAAACCCACGATTTGGTTTTATTTACCCTATGAAGTATGTAGAAGTTCAACACAGACAATCCTGGAGTTTAGCGGCATAACATGAGCTTTGGCTTTGACATCATCAAGTGCCCAATGAAGAATGTGAGGAGATAGTCCAGATACAACTGTTATTCCCAACAAGGATGACTTAACAGGTTTTATGTATAAATCTTGACTTTTTGTAAAAAATCTTCCCACAACTGAAATTTTGTTACCAAGTTTTATAAAATTGTGTGCTTTGATCACAGTACCATTTCTCAATACCATGTAACTGTCTTTAGCATGTTTTACAGAGTATTTAAAGGAGTCCATTTTTAACTGATGATACTGAATGCCTTTCAGACCACAAGTTGGACCATCATCATGGGAGTATGAGAGGGAGGGGGGAAAATAAATCTCTTCATTTAGGTCTGGCTGGTTCTCTTTTTCCTGCATCCTTTTATATAGTTGGGGTAGGGGTTTAGCTCTCCCCCGCAATAGATTTTTAAGAGTGCCATGAAAGCTTTCAAATGGGAATGCAGAGAAGGAATCAAGTGGCTGTCCCTGCCATTTCACATCTTCATAAACATGACAGAGATTGTGAATACAGTAAGTTGGAAAACTTTTGCCACAGACTTTTGGGCTTTCTTTAACAAAAGACTTCATGAGATCGTCTGCAACCCTCCCCAACTTTAGGCACAGACTCTTAGAGCAGAAGATGCGTGTGGCAACATGCAATTTTAAAAACAGGTCATATTGTTCCTTAGATATTAAACCTTTTAAAACAACAACTCCAATATACAGTAGGAACTGCCTAAACTCTGTGGCTTTCCAAATTCCAGAATCACTGAAAGAACGACAAATGCGGCTGAATTCTGAGGGACAAAATTTTCTTAAATGTTCTATGGCTTTATTAATTGCAGTTATTACATTCTGAGTAAGTTTTCCTTTCCTCTGTTTTTTCTTCTTCTTTACCTTGCCATGAACAACTTCATATTGTGGTTTCCCATCACCAACCACATATCCATCCTTTAAGACCTCTAAATATCTCTTCAAAGCCCCAATCAGAATTAAATGTAGATAATCTAGTGGAAATGAAAATATCATGTCAATGGGTAAAGCAAGCAGAGGGGTATCTCCCTTATGATGATCTTTTTGCAGCTTTTCCCTAAAATTCTTATCAGTTCTTAATTTTTCATTTGTTTCCTTGAATACCCGGCATCCAGCAACTGATTCTCCCATAACAAAACATTTACCACAGCCGTAGAAACCTGAATGGTACTTCGTCATTTTAATCATGGCAGTAGCAGGAGCATCACAAATAAAGTTTTTTAGCTTCACTTCAAATGATGTAGTTAAATTGACAAAGATTCCTTTTTGGACCACGACATTTGTCTCCTTCACAAACTTTTCTAAAAAAGACTGTACGGGTGGGTGACCTCTTCCAAACCATGCCGCTACCAGAATCGGTTTGCTTCTTGGAAGCTCTTCAATCTTTACTAAAATTGGCCACAGTTGGTTTTTTGTGCATTTAAAGGGACTATCACCATCAATAGACACACTTATTGTTATAGACCGAAAATTTATCACGGTCAATCTAGCTGCTAGAAACTTGCTAATACATTTCTCTAACCCAAGATACATGAATTCACCCTCACCCATTTTCTCAATAGGACAGTTGTCTCTGGTTGTTCCTAATAAGGTTCTTGCGTCAGTTGGTAAAAAGTCATGGTAGGGTTTAAATATTTTGAGAAAGCCATTAACAACTGCATGACTCACATTCATCTTGATAGTAAAATCTCTAAGTTCTTTGTTGAGAGCAACGGCCTTGGAGCGAGGGCTTATTTCAGCCTTCACTGCATTCTGCTCAACATTCGCAATGCGTAAATTATTTTCAGGGCCTAAGTCATCTTCATGTCCGATGCTACTTTGAAAACTGTTTATGATGTCCGATCTATCATGATCACGGTCAAATTCAAAATCACTTTCATTCTCACTATATCTACTCTCTAACTGCGTATCCT